GCCCCTGGGCACATGTATTTTGGAGGCCACCGCCTCCCCTGCTTTCCTATATTGGTGTCTTTCTTGCCTTCCTCCTCGCAAAATCATCCACTAGATCGTACAAATATAGCTGTCTGGCGAGGTCTGACTCTATTTACGTAAGTGACAATGAGCTGAGACGTGTTTGGCACATGCTACTCCGCAGCTCATTTTTTATTCTGCCTAAAAGGGAAAATGTTCACTCACCCTGGCAGTGTTGTCACTGGCAAAGTTAGAAAAATCCAAAGTGCCACGAAAACATTGGGGGAAGACTGACTGCAGATTAAGTGCTTGCAACGTCTGAAGCAATTTAGTTGGGCACTTCTCACCCTCAGAGTCAGACATGAAAGACTTGAATTGTATGAGTTCGTTGGCAAAGTTCATGTCCAGGTCTGATGGATATGCAGTTCCACTATGACATCACTGTTAGACACCTGATCTGACATAAACACAACTCCAAAGAGACTGGTCAAACGCTTGTAAGCGTCCAAGCGATGTTCAAGGCATGCTACTAGCTTATCAAAGATCACATAAAATGTTTCTATTTTGAACTTCTCCCTCCCCTAAAGTGTCACACCTGGCTCTGAGCTCTCATCTGCAAATGTTTTGCGTTTCCTCTTTCGTTGAAGATCGTGCTTATTTGACTGAGAGACCTGTCACATTTAAGGCTGCCCTTTCAAAAGCTTCAAACTGGTCTCGCTGTCCCATCACAAAATCCCTCAACGAAGATAAAATCTGTGCTGCTACAGAGATGTCAATGCCACTTGTCTGTAGGTGCATGCTTGTCGCGTGAAACCGGTTAAGTATGACAACCCAGAAATGTGCCATGAACACCATCCCTAAAGTGCCCAATTTAGCACATAGTCCAGTGGCCTCAAGTCGAGTATCTCTTTTCTCATTATCATCATTGCACATACCACCGAAGGCCTCTCTAATGTGGGTGTAATTTCTCCACAGTGCCTTGGATGACTCTGCCCGAGCACTCCACTGAGTACTGGACAACGATTTTAATGTCATCTGACATCTGTCTTCCAAAAGACTTTCCCCCATCTGTGTGTGGATGAAGAACAAAATGTGTACAGTGACTGCAACATGTAAAAAATACTCGTCAGCCTCTGGGCTACTGCCGTCTAAGGTGTTAACACCAACTAAGTTAAGTGAATGCGGTGCACAAGGCACATTCTATCAGAGGGTTTTTTTGTTTCAGGTGGGCCCGTAGCCTATTGTATTTTCCTGACATGTTGCTTGCATTGTCATATGACTGACCTCTACAGTTTGAGAGGTCCAACCCAATGCCCTCCACCATCAAAGTCACACAGTCTGCTAAACTTTTACCAGTGTGGCTCTCAATTGGCTCAAAGCCCAGGAATCGCTCCACCACATCCCCGCTGCTGTTAACAAACTGGAATATGAACATCAATTGGTCCCATGTGACAGGTCTGGGGTAGAGTCAACAATTATTGAAAAATATTTGGCATCCATAATATATCATCTGCTATTGATTGGCGAGTTTTCTAACGCATTAGCGGAATGAGTTATCATATTGTCGATGACAAATAGGACACTGTGCCTCTTCCTTTTCCGCCAAACTTTTTAATATGTTCAGCTAAGAATGGGTCAAATTGTGATAGCAATTCTAGGATGCCAAGGAAATTACCATTATGGGTTGACCCAAACCGTTCATCATCTCCCCTAAACGCAAGTCCTCTTTCACCCAAGAACTTTATTACTGCTACAACTCTTTTCAAAATGTTCCTCCAGTATTCACGTTCCCCATCAAGTTGCTGCATGAGATCTGCATCTATAGCACTGCCCTTTGTCCGCTGGTGCAAGGCAAGCATGCATGATCTGTGTTCTGCACTCTTTTCGTGTTCCCCTATTCTTTCAGAGTGATTCCAGTCACTAAACTCCTGACTAAAGCCACCGAGCTTGCTGGAGAACAGTTTTCATGCAAAACAGTGCACACACAACCTGTTGGGGGTGAGTACAGTAGCCATTGTCTAGAAACCTTCTGCCCATTTGGCAATATACTGTTCAGAAGTTAATTGTTGAAACTTCTAGTCTTTCCACAAAGCACTCTATCTCGGACTGAAGCTAGGTATTTTTCACTGCAGTTTTGGAAGGGGACTGCTCCTTTGTCAATAAGCACTGACGTAACAATGTCACTGGAAGTGCTTTGCCATAATGCAGGGTCAGTGACTTCATAGCACCAGGAATGGCTTGGTTGCTGATTTGATTCTTGTGAACTGCCAAACTGCTCCTGAGGTGGAAATGATGGTTCTTGTATACCATTAGCTGTTGACGGTTCGCCTTCAAAGGATGGCTCTGGGGGAGTGACAACATTACTGGAAACTAAACTAGTGGTAGTTCCTTCCTCACAGCTGACAATAGTGCTGCTGTCATCATTATTACTATCAAAGGTTTTTGAAAGAAGTTGGCAATGAGTGGAACACTTTGAAGCGAAACTGTCTCTCTTGCCTCTTTTATTCCAACGTTTGTGGTCCATGTTTCAGAACTAGTAAGCTATTTATATGAATATATTTATAGCATATCTCAATACTTATTAAATAATAATTGCATTGATATATTAATAATGACAACACCCTTCAAATACTGTTGTTGGAAAATACAATTAAGTGGTAGTATTTTATAGTCTACTTGTACCTAAAGGCAGCTTTGAGTAGATAAAAGAAAAAAGCACATAAAAGAAAATAACCCTAACCCTTTAAAAAGGATGTTAAAAAATTGCCCTTTGGAGGGATTGTTGAAATGGCCTTTAAAAAGGCTGTTTTTTTTATACAAAAGATGGAAAAAAGTCTCTTTTCCTACCAAGAAATGTCTTATATAACTGCTTGACAGAGAGTATTATGTTGCTTGAAATTCAAAAGATAACTTTTTTTTCAATGACTGAACAACCAACAAGGATTTCTGATACATCAGTGAAATGACTTGGTGGAGACTATGCACATAGGCCACACCCCATCGATGAGGAGGGGAAAAAAGACCTCATAAGAACTGTCGACAATTTGCATGTCAACGTTCGCATTATATACTTCCGTGGATCTAAAAACAGACGGTCTATGGAAAAAATGTATGGGGGTTTCCTTAATCTTTAAGTATGGATTGGGTCTCTTATATATGCATTAGTGTATGAAAAAATATAGCTTTTGGCATCTTTTTTTAATATTTCACAAAACCACGGTGTATTTTTAATAATTGATTTGTCTAACTAAGCTCTCAACAAACGACAAGCCCTCGGTCTCACTAGCTGCCTTTTTAGTGCAGCTAATTTGGTTGTAAGGGCAGCTAGCTGTCAAAAATGGCAGCTTGCTAACTAATTTCTGTTAACAAGCTGAATCATATGGGCAGCTAGCGAGGGAAAATGGGCAGCTATCTAAAATAACGGGATAGCTAGTTACTGTAAGTCAAATAACAAACTGCTTGCCATAATATGACGCACTTCAAACTGTCATGTTATGAAGAATGAACTGACTTGTTGGTGAATATTGTATCATGTCACAGCATATTGTAGCATGCCAACCAGTGGCTCGTTGTACAGAAGCACTATACTCTCCGAGAGGCCCTCGTTTTAAGCATGCACTATATGTACCAAGGGGCCCCCAGGTGTTACACTCGATGTATGCACCGAGGGGCCTGGGGGCCATAGTGATCAGCTCACACTGTAACCACCCAGGGGCCTAAGTGGTCAGCTCACGCTTTAAGTGCAGAGGGGCCCAGGGACCCTCACAATATAGGTGCCGAGGGGTCCCAGGGACTCTAGTGGTCAGCTCTTTAAACACCAAGGGGTCTGGGGGCCCTCACACTGTAAGTGCTGAGGGGCCCAGGGGCCCTAGTGGTCAGCTCACGTTTTAAACACTAAGGGGCCCTCACATTGTAAGCACTGAGGGGTGTGGGAGCCCGAGTGGTCAGCTCACGCTATAAGCACACAGGGGCCTAGTGGTCAGTTTGCGCTGTGCGCACTGAGGGCCCTGACGTTCAACTTCCTTTGGAAGTCTTGGGCCACGCACAGCACGTGGCCTGAGGCTTGGAGGCCCCCTGGCAGTCCGAGGCCCCGGGGCACTGGCCCCACTGGCCCGGTCCATAATCCAGCCTTGATTTTGGTAATGTTCCATATTTCAGAGCCTTTTTCAAGTAAATCTGGGCTATATATATATTTATCCATAAACACGTGTATTTGCTACCCTAAATCTTCTATAGAAGTCCACGAGTTTCTCTCATTTGTCATACCTTCTTCTGAGCTTAAAGCTGCCAGCCTCTTTCCCATCCGGCTCCCATGGTGGTGTTCCAATCTGCCATTACCATCAGATGGACATCCCCTTTTCTCCTGCAATAATTTCCTCTTATAGTAGTAGATCTTGCCCGCCTCTTCCTCACTAGTTGAATTATGGTTGCATCGACTGGTTTTATTTGGATCATTATGAGCATCACTTCGTCACTGCATCTCACTATCTTAGAGATATTTCTTCCTGTATTCCTATCCACGTGAGAATTTCCTCGTTAGCACTCCCTCACTTGAGAGTTGTTTTTGTGATGAATGCATAAAACTGATGTCGAATAGCCTGGGACACACATCCCAAGTACGTATCCACAACACAAAAGCTACTTAATTTTTTGAATAGCATCTTCTTTAAATCCAGCTTAAACTCATTCACAAATGTACCCCGCATGTACATAACAACAACAGCCGCCATAACTGGCAGTGACATCACTACAGCGCTTGTGCCAGGCTAGATGCACGTGAGGCCATGTGAAGTGTCGAAGGCTCGCTGGCAGGAGTTCACGTGACAGACCCAAGGTACCATGGGATGATTGACTGAGATGATTAGCACATGCACTACCTGTGCTCCCTACTGCAACAACTCACTGCATTTTATCCGCCCAGGCGCTCCGCTCATTGTTGCAATGCAAGCATCACTCCTCTGCCCTCCACTTTTGTGCACACACACACCTGCTGCACTTACCTGCGCTCAGTAGCAGCAGGGAGCACTCTAAGGACTGCGGAGTGGTGCAGTAATGGATGGCGGCCAGTCCGCCGGTCGAGTACTTGTCGGGATCGGCCCCGTACTCCAGCAGCAGAGACACAATGGCAGGCCGCTCCAGCAAGCAGGCCACGTGCAGCGGCGTCTTGCCGTTGGGCATGGCGTTGGGGTCTGCGCCTCGGCGGAGCAGCACCCGTGTACACTCCTCCCGGCCCAGTGCCGCAGCCACGTGCAGCGGCATGACGCTCGAGGACTGGAGTTTGTAGTTAGGCAGCCAGAAGCCTGCGAGATGGACACAGCAAGGTGATGATAATGATAGTGATGCAATTTGTAACGCACAGAATATTGTATGGGCATAAATGACCGTGACTCTGAAGTGCTGGAGCTAAGCTCAGTGTCGTTTGAAAGCCAGGCAAAAGAGATGTGGGGCCTTTAAGATTTAGAACTATTGATACGCACACTGCATGTATGATGCCTGGCAGCTAATTTTAACGGGCATTTCACTTCGATGTTAACGTTCTCTGTAAATGTTAATGATACATTTTTCTTTCATGATTTACAAGCACAAGTACAAAAGGCTCAACATGCCAAGCGGCCAGCAACAATAGCAATTGATTGGTGTTCCTGTATTATTTAATGTTTTATATACGTTGCTGAATAGTGAACTTCAATATGAACCCAAGGAAGCCACTTATTTATCTTGCAGGAACCCTGCCTGTGGAAGTAATGGGGTTCAGCCACCCTCAAGCCTCCTGGGTCCCCATGCCTAAGGGGGAAAAGCAATCACGAGTCCTCGATGGCGGCACAGAATTGTAGTGAGACAGACAAGGGGCAGCAGTTGCTTCTGGAGCATAGGCAGTTGGGTAAGAGTATTGACAGCTGAGACTCGATGTAAGCATCAATCAGGAGCAGGTAGCATACAATTACTAATGTAGCAACAGCGGGGATGTCACTGTATGGTACCGGCCTGAGAGGGTCATGGCACGCGATGCACTGTCATCGCGTATACCCCGTAGCCGGGTGTAGTACCAGCCCTAGCGGGGCTTGGCGTGCGCTGGGATAGCGCGGGCACCACGCATCGCGTGTAGTGCGGGCTTCCACAGGGGGGAAGGAGAGTGTTTGCCCCGGGCCATGGCAATCTGGTTGACCCCGTAGACATGTGATCTGGAGTGTCCACAGAGAGGCCTCCAGGTGGGGGGGGACGAGGGGGTAATCACGTGTCCGGGGAGAGCTATCGAGAGGGATCAAGAGGGAGCTCGAAGGCTCTAGAAGGTGGGCGGGGCAAAGGGCGGAGCAGCCCCGACCCGTGGGGGAATATAAGGTAGGTCCCTGAGAGGAACCGGGGTGGCTGCATTCTACAAGCTGAAGCTCTGCGTCCTACAAGCTGGAAGCTCTACAGGCATCAACACGTGGTCGGGACCCGAGTGAGGGCCAGACCCTTCGTAGCTGTAACTCCTCCGTATAGGGTAGTTAGCTGGGTGGCCACCACCCTAGGCTGTATCTGGTGAAGGGGCAGTTACCCCTTTGTGTTACGTGTTGTTGCAAATAAATGTGTTGCCTCTAAAGAACAACGTCTGCGACTCAGTTGGACTCACTACACGAACATTACATTTAATGATTTCTCAAGCCCCATCTTGACAAATGGTAATTTTTGTTACATTTGTCACGAAAATTGGACCATGTCTCTTTGCAACAATTGGGGTTTCACCCCGTTATAATGTTCACGTATACATACATTCAGTATGGGAGGCCTCTTGGCATGGGATCTCACAGTCTAGACTGGGAGAAATGGAAAACATCTGCCAGAGGAATCGTTCAAGGTCAATCTGACAACTTCCACACTCCTCATAACCAACAGTTGGCATTTTTTCCCCTCCAAAATTGTGATGAAAATGACCAATTATCGAGATGGCACCGATCACTCAAAACATCTCCATTCTCACACGAGCACGAGGTGGCATTCGTCTCCATTGGCTTACCCACACCACAAACCGTGGCAGCAGATGTTGGACACTTTGTGCCAAGATAAAAATATATATATACAGTGTGCGACTGTGGTCACCCAGAACAGCCCATGGAGCATACATATGTTTCACGACTGCCCGATTTACAAATACAAAGGACGCATCAATCACAGTGATGTACCACCGCACTACTCCTGGCGCAATTATCTTATTCAACCACCTCAATGCAAAATTGCAGCTGTTGCTCTGCATAAACATCAGCCAGAGAAGACGGCATGCCCGAACCAGTGGTGGCAATCCCATATTCCTTTGTCAGACTCTTCATATGACAACTGCCATTAACTTCCCACAAAAAAGGGTGCTTTTATCGACACCCTTTTCGGGGAAATTCTGCTGGGAATAGCGGAAGGCTCTACCTGCCTGGTTTGTAGGCAGCCAGCTTCATGTGCTCGTCCTCCACGTAGAAGATTTGGTCGACGTGGACGATGTCGCTCTGCAGATAATTTTCCACCAGCGCCACTTCGTTGGCATTGAGCGCCTCCAAGAATCGGATCTTTCCCTCCCCGCACATGTCCTCTTGCGCAAGCAAGATGTTGTCCATTGCTCAACTCTGCTTTATTTGTGAGTTATTGTTATTGATATCAGGCCGTATACACAGCGATGCTATATTAATAGGTAGTAACCTGTTGACCTCCGAGCACTGCGTTCGGTCGATTGATCCGCAAAAGATGCAGTGTGAACGCGTGTGGCCGTGGGTGCCGTGTGAGCAGTGATGTGTGGGTGAGAGGAGTAACTTTAGCTCGCTGTCACGTGTGGCTATTTTTGTGATTTCTTTAAGGCTCGGGGGGGGGATAAACATGGTGCCGATTTTGGCCGCTTTGCGTGGGCCATATGCCACACAATGACAGAGTTCTTCACCCCTGTTTTGTAGTTTTTCTACTCAGGTCTCTTGAAGATGTTTGTCTAAATCGCCACGTAGCTGGTGATCGGTAAAGTTTATGTGCGTCACTTTGGTGACCCAGGTCACACTTGCAAATGATACGTATCCTGCTCTCCCTCGAGTTCTCACCGGGTTAAACAAATAACTTGAACTTGTATGCATTCAGTTGTAGGACTGCTTAAATAGGAGTCAATATATGCAGCCAATACTGTGTATATTTAGGTGAGAATTTCACTGCACGATGAACTCGGCAGCCTGAGTTTGATTTCTGGCCATGGCTAACATCAATTAAGTGAGATCTGAACTGATACCGGGCCAATTCATCCTTCAAACCACATTGACCAGCGTGGTGAAGTATAGGAAATGTATACCCATGACTAACACGGCTTGGTGATCTACATTTTGTTCCTACGTTACTTCATCTTCAATATGAAACTTTAAAAAAATCGTAGTGTATTTCCATTGGACATATCAACACATTACAGCACTGTCGTGAGTACAGTAGTTACAACCAGAAATGTATCCCTTTAGAAGCCGTGGTTTATTCTAGATTCCAGATGAAGGGATTCATTCCGATGTAAAGGGGGGTAGAGTATATATTTTTTTAAAAATATATTCCGAAAGCTTTAAATCGAAATTTATTTTTAAAAACAGTCGTGTTATCAAACCAAACTGGCGTATGGAAAGGTTATCGTGTGTGCTGCAGCTTGGCAGGCTGAGGTTTCCTCCCCATTAATAGAGGCAACATATTTCACTTTTTCACATTCCAGTATTATAATTAAACGCTTACATGCGGCCTCTATTATCAACGACAACTCGTGTTATCCACAAGCCCTCTTCCTGTAATCCGCGACTTAATTGCAAACATGCAATTCGGGATATTGTTTTAAATTGTAGATAAAGCAATTGCACGGCAATTACATTCTATTGTGTTGGTTATCCACCGATGTTAGCCCCGCGGGGGAGAGGAAAATCGTCGATAACCCCGTGGATAAATGGGTCTGCTATTTTGGTCTCCCGAATTGGCCCAGATTGGTGACGAATTGGCCACGAACGCGCCGCGTCGAACATCAGCTGGCACATTCGTGGGGGGCAATGTTCCTGTGTAGAATAGAAACGTGTACAGTTGTGGGGGGCGCTTTCAAATGTGAAGATCAAATATTTCATTTGAATACGTCAATTTCAGTAAGCGTTGTTATTATATACATATTAAAGCGTGCCACATTAAACGTGGACTTGGGTCAACTTTGGGCCTGAACCATCACCAATGGTCAGCGATGTGGTGGTTGGTGGGGAAGTTGTGGTGGGGGGCGGCAAGGGGACAATTCTGCTGAAATGGGAATTCTGCTAAAAAGAGATATACGTGTGTTAAAAAAAAATGAGCCCTCGTTAAAACATTTGAAGGCAAACGTTTCGATGGGGTCGCTGCACGTCCCTCCACGAACGCCACTATCCCCTCGGGCGCCGCCATGAACTTCGCGTCTCCACCATCTCCCCAGAAAGTAGTGCGCGGAGAGGTCAGTCCGCGGCCTCCACCAATCACGCGGCGGCGCTCGTTTCGTTTTAAGCCCGGCCAGCCAATCGGCGCGCGCGCCCCCAAAAAACAGCCGTTCAACGCGGAGATTAATCCGCGCGGCGGGAAGGTGACGCGGCTGCGGTGAAGAAATTGGGGGGAGGGGGGCGGTGAGTCGGTCGGCGGGGTATTTGTCGAAGCGACCTGGGCCATTGGCTATAATCGCATCACGTGATGTTGTGTGGGGGGGGGGGGGCAAATGAACCACTCCGATATTGGGGGCGGGGTTTGTTAGCAGGATTGAATAAACGGATATATGAATTTTAAATCTATCGTAAACGCTCACAATATACGCGTCGAGTGTGTGTGCGGGGACCGAATGCGTACGATTTTTTTTTATTGAGGAACAAAATCGTACAAAAATGACGAGTCGATCCCTCAATGCTTGTCGCGGATGTATTTGGAGGGGAGGAGGGGGTGTGTGGACCCTTCGCCGCGTTGGCGGAATCCGCGTGACGTGCACGAGCCGCCCAATGGGATGGCGGGGTAGGAGGGGCGGGAGGCGGCGAATGCGAGAGAGGGGGGGGGCGTTGCTCCGACAAAACCGGCCCTATCGTCTATTGGCTGCGATCGGAGCACGTGACTCGGGACGACCAACCGACGAACAACGTGGGGGCGGGACCCAAGCTTGAAAATTCGAAGGCGGCGCTCGCGAGGGCGGGGGGGAGAGAGGGGGGGGCGGGGGGGGGAAGGGGGCGTGGTAGGAGTGAAAAGGGGGCGTGGTAGGAGTGAAAAGGGGGCGTGGTAGGAGTGGAAAGGGGGCGTGGTCGGGGTGGAAAGGGGGCGTGTTGGCTGCGATCGCGCGCGGGGACGACGCGGCTCTTGACGTCTGGGCTACGTATGGCGGCGGCGGCCAGTGGGCGCCCTGCGTCGCTCTGACGAGGCGGGTACGTAGTTGGCGCGACGAGCTCGGCTTCGGGGCGGAATCGGCGTCGCGATGATTTTCTGGGGTTCCTTCGTGAGGAGGAGGAGGAGGGGGTCGTCACCATCGCGGGCGTTTGGACGGGATAAACACGCGACATTTTTTTCTGCTTCTTCTCCTCCTACCCCCCCCCCTCACCGCCTTGCACTGGCGGCGGCGGCTGCGGTTGCGAGGGGCTTTTGGGGCGGCGGCGGTGGCGCGTTACAGTCATGGCGGCCTCGCTCGCCCGGGCACGGCTCCCTCCCGAGGGCGGCTGCCCCCCCCCTTCCCCCCACCCCCCACTACCCCCCCCCACTACTCTCCCCCCCCACTGCCCACCTTGGCTTTCGTCTTCCTCGTGCTGTTAGGGCGGCCGCGTTGTTGTGGGTTTTCAAAACAAAAGTCAACCCGCGGTTAACGAAATCTCTCGCTGTCGCCTGTTGTGACACTCCTAAAGCAATGGGGGATGATGAGAGTGCGGAGGTTTGTTTCGTGTTACGAGTTTTCCAAAAAAATACAAAAGAAATGTTTGCTTTAAAATGTTCACGCATGCTCAAGTAAGAGTCGTGGATTTTATTTTCGTTACGTTTTCCGGAGTAATTTGTAAACTATGCACATTGGGCCGATGTTTTGGTCTGCCACTATGCAGGTCGTCTCTTAAATACGTTTTTTCTTATTGCTGCGTACGTTTACTCGTGTTGCATAAACTACTTGGAGTGATATTCAAACTAGATGGGCTTAATAAGCGTGTAGTTCCAGTCGTGGTAGTTTTGCACAACACAGCCTACAGTAGGCCAAGGTTACGGGTCATGGCCCTCAAAATTGGTACATTTCCCGTAATATATATTTCAGTTCCGTATGAGGTTTGTTTTTTATATGTTAACTGATGATGTTAAGCAGTATTTCTTACACGATTAAAGCTGGCGTGGTGGCTCGCATGTTCAATGCTGTGGAATAGGCATGGGACATTGAAATAAAAGTGTCGCTGTCTGGAAGACTAAGATCGTTTTATAATGAAAACGTGGAAGTAAAATGAAACGTAAACACATTCGTCAATAAAACTGCCTTGGAAGAAAATGAGCCGACGTTTCGGTCAATGTCCTTTCATAGCACGTGGCCCTAAATGCGCTTTAGAGACCAGGGCGATTGCCCACAACGCCTCGATTACATGTTTTCTGCAAACAGTATTATGTAGATATTCCAAATGTTTCTTCCTGAGTAAAGTAATATTTAACAACACTAAAGTTTACGTTTTTCAAAATGTGTAGGCCTTATCCAAACCACCAGCTCAAACGTTGAGAAAATGTAGCCATCACTTAATGCAAAATTGTATTATTTCCAACCTGTTATACTGTTGTGATGGGTTTTCTCGTCATTTATAGTTTGGAAATGGAAAACATGAAACAATCATACGCCTGTTGGTGCCTGGTCGACACTCAACACAAACTTAGACTTGAAGGTGATATCGTGAAAAAGATGGATCCATAATTTAGAGAAGAAAAAAAACATTGCTACAAGGATGTCGCTTAATGATCAATCGTAAATCGCAATCTTTAAGTCCACTTTTGAGAAAGTAAAAATAGATGTTTCATGTACAATGGCACACATTTGTTGTTGCAGGGTCAACACTAAACTAACGTCCACTTGCCGTTCCCAGGTTATTAATGTTAAACCCCGATCTGCAGTAGTGCGAAGAATGTGTGAACGGTTTTATTTAATAGCTTTAAAGCAAATTCTGACTTTGGTTGAAAAAACTAAATTGAAAACACCCCATGTTCCGATGTCATTGGAAGGATCAGCATCGATGTACCGAAACAAAAAAAAATGTATCGGTGTATATCGATGCTTTCTTTTTCCCCAAATCCAACTTCGAAGACTGGTTTGGTGGGATCACCCATTATGGTTAATGTGAAACTCGCTGGGCAGCGAGGTGGAAGGGTATTGTAGTAGAGCAAGTGGGATTAATTACCAGACAACTAACCAAGATGCTGTTGGGGGAACGCATCCCTATTGTAAGCGTGTGGCATTTCACCGAGTACTCACGATTTTCGCATCGAATAAAATACTAATGGAATTGGCCAATCTTCCCACATGCAAGAGGACCCTTAGAAAAAATAAATGTATTGAGACCGAGGTTTCTTATTAAGTGTCCACATTCACGCCGCCGTAAGTCGGGAGCTATTGACTCGAGGCGCCGCCGTTTTGGAATAAAGACTTAAAACATTTGAACGTTCCCCTTGCCATGTGTTCTCGTAACGACAGATTATCTCCACAAAGCGACCTGCTCGTGTCCCCCTGTAATCAATGCTACCCTCAACGGCCGCGTGGTTAATCATCAGGCCATGATCTGCAATGGCAAATCGTTGCAGGCATCCGTTACTAATCTTGAGCGGTTGTGGCAACTTGTTGTAACGGATTTCTCTAGCAGTGTGTAGCTGAAATTATGCATTAATAGCACAGAGGCACAAAAATTCCCATCGTAAGCCATCGACATCACCGCTTCACCATCAAACCACACACGTGACACCACCACCACAACATCTCTCCACACCACCACAATAACTCCACCATTGCTTGCCACTCGTGCGGGGATGAGGCTGTTTTTTGTTTGTTTTTGAAACTTAGAGCGTGATGTCATGCACGCGCAGGGGAACGTCAATCATATTTGTTTAGATTTTGAGCGACTGGGATTTTTTTTTACAATGGGAAACGCTTGGACAACCATTGCTGGTGACTGTTGTCTACAACTATCATACCATATTCTTGGTTCTTTCGGTAAAGTCACGTAGATAGAAAAACTAAAAATAAAATTCAAATAGAAAAATAATAAATTTAAAATAAAAGCTAAAAACCCACAAAAAAAATAGTAAAATCAAATGAAAAATTAAAATAAATAGAAAATAATAAAAGCAAAACCCACGACGTTTCGATCGCAACACAAGCGGTCTTCGAAGAGAAAAGAGGGGGCAAGCCTCCAAATGCAACTGCTTAGAAGGGTTCCAAAGTAAGTGGGCGGGGAAAATCTTCGCAAGCAACACGGAAATGCAGGAGCAGAACAATGGGGGAGTTGGGAGGAGGAGAGCTTGTGCCTCGCAAACAGCATGGGCAGGGCAGCCAGTCAGTCAGGGCTAATGTAGGAGCAGACAATGGGGGGGAGGAAGGGGGCAGAGATAGGGGGGGAGAGAGGGGAGTTCGAGATGGGGGGGGGCATTGGATCTCGCTACACACATCCACACTGCTGACTGGTAGAGGTTGACAAGAAGACATCATACCATGTCAACCCATACGGTTTAGCCCGTATTCTTGTACAGGGAAATGAGTTTTCAGGCCCATACGGCCAACAGCCGTTTCAATACGGGCAAAAACTAAAATTGTCTTTGTGTGTTTCTCCCTTTTGATGGGACTTTGTAGGATGAACGTTGAGATTTATAAGGACACGGGGTGACCAGTAAGGTCTGAATTGTTCTGTAATAAGGTAGGCACTGATAAGGAGTTGACAGGTATGAACTATTGCCCGAAGGTTATGCTCCAGCGCATCATATGAACCTTATGGCGGGACCCCGGGGTCCCGAATAAATGGAAGTTAAAATCTTAATTTTTTTTTCCGACTCCGTCCCGCCGCGCGCACAAATGCGACCTACCTGGCGCACATCATTCTGTTGTCCAAGCGCAGCGAGGATAAATGCGCAGAAGAAACAAAACTTTTAAACTTTGATTAGCACAATCGTGTAGAGCTCGTCGATAGGAATAGATTGCCATATCGTTCGCCTTCAACAGACATAAAATGTAGAAGCAACACAATTTATGCGAGAGCCGAGGGCTTATGGGACCCCAGGGGCTTATGGGAGCCCAGGGTCCTGCCATAAGGTTAACTTATGGCCTTCACAACTGCCGTGGAGGACATGCGCCAACCCCTGGAACTGGACTGATAACTTGGTGGCACTTTGTCAAAATAAACAAGACGGTGAAATAAGTGTGGTGCCGCTGTTTTATTTAAACCTCGGCCGTTATTGCCATTGTTGCTGCAAAATACCGGTGCTCTGAAAACGGTCTTGTAGCAGCCAATGCTTGGTTAAAGCTGTGCCTATTAAATGGCCCAGTGCACAACGCCATAGCTCTCTTGGAGAGGTAGCAGATTTTCTTGGCACTGCAGTTAAACTGTGCGGTGTTGTTTAACCAGGCTGAAATAAGCCATCACGAACATTTTGTCTCAGACGCTGGCACGTTAACAGCATGTATGGATAATTAATTCTCAGCTGCCATTCCAAAACTTTGGTAATACATTGTATTTAAAGTACCCATATGTAAGGCTGAGCATGTCTACAGTACAACATTTCAAAACAACTGAATTGGAAAAGGACAATAGTTTCCCACTGGGGTACTAAATTATTATTTTGAATAGTTTCTGAAATGCCACTATTTTGGTGAGTCAGGCTAAAGACTAATGGAATGCGATGAAACAACTGGACCCGATAAAACCTTGATCCGAAGATATGGTCAGATATTGCAGGTTAGAAAGTTATGGTATCGATTTACTTATGTAACCACGTTGAACAGGAGTTCATTTGTAATGCTACTTATTGTAGACTGCAGAATCAGATTATTTGAACTGGAGGAATCCCTTGCGCTATAAAGCTCCTTTTCACAGATTTCCAGTAAGGGGAATTCGGCAAGTTACAGGAAGTAACAGGAGTGAGGTAACAGCACTTATTAATGGTCTGACTTGCACGTGGCTTATTTTTCTTATAGATAAGGTACAACAATGTAAAATGATGCAGTATGTAGGCAGTCGACTGATATACTAGTTAATATTGTTTTTTTATATTTTGTGCAAATTATATGTTGGTTGATGGTGTCGGAGCAAAGCAGATGAGACAGAAACATTGAGAAACAATACAAATGAGATGGTAACAGCCAGACAACTATTTCATCGAAATGTGACCCCAAATGATACAAATTATTTGTTTCTTACCAAGTAGGCAGCTGAAGCTGCCGGCAGAAACATCGTTATGCAAAGGCTCCATTATTGGGGAGCTGTTTTGAGCAATTCACTTCCAAGGGCGTGCCGCTGAGTGTAAACTGTAAAGTATGCCATTTATAAATTTACATTTAAAATACGTCAAAATAATATTAATAATAATCAGTTCAAATATGGCATAATGCAATGCTGCAGCCAGGGCTTAATTTCAGAAGGGTCTGCCCTGATCAGAGAATATTTCCACGCCTGGTACACCAACATCCATTATGCCTCTCGTGGTTACGAGTCGCATACCTACTCCAGTCTACATGCAGGCCAGAAAATATTCCGTCAGACATGAATGTGTCCCGGATACACCCATGATCATAGCGCAAAAGAACAATACATGTTTTGTGCTGCTGTTCCAGTAGGAATTGAAAGGAGCCTAAGATGTCCGAAGGCCAGCAGGAGACAGCGATATTGAGCACAAGTGAGGGAGAGACGCTCGTTACAGTCACGCAGGTACGGGGACGTGGCGACACTCAACCAGTGGCGCAACCTACAGAAGCATTTTTGAGTCAACAAATGGTTTTCCTTCCAAGAGTCCAGTCTGTTCTATAACACATTTTTAATAACAGGAATTGGATGTTACGCGATTAATATATGAGGGAAGACATTTTTTATAACACTAATGCGAATTGGATGTAACGCGATTCAGCGAGCAAAACTACGTTGTGCGAGTAGGAATAAGCGGTTGTACGGCTGGCTCGGCTTTGCATGACACAAGTGGATTCTGCTGGATGCTTCTAGATGCTACCCACGTGCCTCAGTCTTAGTTCAGCCTGTGTAGGCATCTCACGTGTTATCGCAGAATGTGCTTTACCCGATATATATTTATCACTAGCTTTACTACCCAGCTTCGCCCGAGACTTGGATTATTTTCTTGGATTAATACACGGCCTACGCGGAGGGTTGGGGGGGGGGATGCGTGATGTCAGCAGGCACACTGCGTGACGCTGCCGCATGCGGGTGACATCACAGATGTGACGTCACCGCTCACTTGCCGTGCAAAATATATCCATTATTGCGCCCCCCCTAAAATACAAAAGTCTATTTTCATACTTTTTGCATTGTGTACAGTCTGGAAGCTACCCACATGCCAAATTTCAAGTTTGTTGCATGTTGGAAAGTATGCTAAACATTTCGAACAGACACACATTCACAAATTTCCCTTTTATTTCTATAGATAACGCGATTTTTCCATAACGCGGTGTTCTTCAGTATCGCAACTACCGCGTTATAGGAGAAGAGACTGTATATGTGCATGAAAAAGGAATATGTGCACATCTACACTTGTGCAGTTGTACCATACGTCCAGGCAAACATACTTGCGCTCATACATCAAAAGTCACAAACATACATACTAACATAAATGACACACACATGCCATATACAGCATACATGCTGTTACACTTCAAGTGTGTGTATGCTTTATTAGGCAACTGACTAACCATGCAACAAGACATTGATTAAAATTATTATGCTCGGGATGCAAGCATGGAATCACGCTTGTAATAAATAATGACTTTCAATTCACATACATTGTATTAAATTGGATTGGTTTGTGTGACTCGTGCAGCCACTACGTTTACCACATTGTAAAATAATTGAATCTTTATAAATAGTTAAGTGGCTACGATTGAACATGTGGTATCTGCAGTCATAAAGTGTTGAGCATTAAGTTCCCGTATTAGTATTTTTGGGAACTAAAAGTTGATGCTCCATTGATAGCTATCCTGAGTAGTTCCTTTACCATACACATCTGCAACAGTTGATTTCTGCACTGATTGTTGCTTTGCTTTCGCCGATTCGGCTTAAAATAAGAATCAGAAGTTTATTTCCCGAGCAAAGTCCATTGGGCATCGAAGCTATTTTTGATAAGCAACTCATCCAGCAGACATCAAGGAAGCATTCCACAATATGGGTCACCGAGGTTATATGTCAACACTCTCAGTGATGTGATGTGCTCTGTAGATCTTAATTTGCGTTCTGTAGATCTGAATTTGTGCTCGTTTAACAACATTTGACATAGCAGACGTGCGAAAGTTTATCCTTTGCCTTAAAAAAAAATGAAAAAAGTGCTCTACTGCATGGCCTCTTAATGTGCTTATTATCTCTTGTGCATAGCCTTTCAGCACAGTTTGATTCATATGCGCCATACATCTGTATTGTGTTGAAAGAGGTGTCTGTCTCTGTCCGCAGGTGTCAGCAGAGGAAGTAGCACAGGCAGGCACCACCACAATGGCGTTGGTCCAGCTTCCCGGGGGTCAGACCGTGCAGGTGCAGTCAGTCATTCAGGCTGCACAGTCCTCTGTCATCCAGTCGCCACAGATACAAACCATCCAGGTGACATGCGTAAACATGGACCCTATTCTAAGCACTCAATCTTTTGAGTGACTCGTCATAGGAAGAGAATTTCTCTCTCTGTGATTGAAAATGACAAAGTGTGCCTTTCGCCCTGGCCGTCTGCTTGTTTGCAGGTGGCCACAATTTCAGATGGCGAGACGTCGCAGGAGTCTGGAGATAGCTCCTCGGACACGCAGAAGCGCAGGGAGATCCTCTCTCGACGGCCCTCGTACAGGTGCGCATTCCTCACTCCTGCCTTCCGGTTCCACATTCTCAGTCAAGCGCTCTCGTTTAGCAGTTTGGGGTGCACAATTCTTGACCATCTCTCGTGGTGTCGTTTGCGTTCATGGAGTTATGCATTTGCCTCATTTCTCGGTTGCCCCATGCAGGAAGATCCTGAACGACCTCTCCTCTGATGCGGCGGCCGTCCCGAAAATTGACGAGGAGAAGGCAGAGGATGATGGCTCAACCACAAATAACATTGTGACCCTGCCCACACCCATCTACCAGACCAGCACTGGCCAGTATTGTAAGTAATTGTTAGAACACCCTAATATGTAAATTAGGTTACCATTGCAGTATATGGACGATAGCAATTATGTGTTTGTGTGAAGAAGAAAAACTCTAGGTCTTTCTAGTTAGGCGACCCAGAAAATACTTTTGTTTTTAGCACACCACAATCGGTATACATCTCATTGGCTGTGGCTAGTCGTCAGTCACGTACCTCCTCCAGTGTACCGGTTACCTGGAAAATATGCAGTAGGAAATTAAACCCTGCTTATGCTTAGATAAATTGGTCAGGTAGAGATAACAACCCGGTATTGCTGATCTATAGCATGTGCATGTGTGTTTTCCTGCAGTTGCCATTGCTGGCGGTGGTGCAATACAGATCAACGGGGCAGAGGGGCTTCAGGCGCTCACCATGGCCGGTACGGGAGGGCAGCAGGCGGGCGCCACCATTGTGCAGTACGCGCAGACCTCCGACGGGCAGCAGTTCTTCATGCCGGGCAGCCAGGTCGTGGTGCAATGTACGTACCCCTCGACCGTGGCACAGCCACCTTGCTTACCTGAGAACGGTAACAAGACTTTTGTTGCCAACGAAAGTCGAGCTGGGATATCAGATTCTCGAAGTAATCGTTTAGCATTTATTAGTTTGTTCACTCGACAAATCGAATAATTTGACAATACTCTCACCTCTTATCCCGCGTGTGCCGCTGAGCGTGAGGTGATGGGCACGGCTAGGTGATGTAATTGGTATCATCATCATCAGCGTCAAGCTGACTGTGGCATGTGGTTTCCTGCCTTTGGGAGGCAAGCTGTGGGGATGGTCACAAGTTTTAAAGGGGCCCGATTAATCGACCACAAAAAAGTACTCAATTAAAATGTTTAGTCGACCTCAACCAAACTAGGCATTTGTTGTGGCAGAATTTCCCGGCTGTTGTCTCACTTTGTCCTGTTTTTGTGGCCTGCCATATGACTTGCAGCGGCCTCAGGAGAGACGTACCAGATCCGCACGCCTTCGGGTGGCATCCCACAGGGCATGGTCGTGGCAACGTCGCCAGCCTCCATCCAGAGCTCGCAGGGTGTGCCCGAGGAGGGGACGCGCAAGCGGGAGGTCAGGCTCATGAAAAACAGGTACGTCTAAGGGCAGTGCTTCGCTGAAATTCATTATTCATTTTGTCGAATGATCTCTTGCATCTCATTCGTGATTGTGCTTTTTCCCCTCTTAACGCTACTGTGTGATTAGCAGGTTGGAGAAACGTTGCAGTCATATTTGCAGTTTATTTGTGAATTCTTTTTAGGTTCATCTTAAATGTGTACACAAACAAAATAACTCTTTTACGTTTACCGTAGAAAATGTTCATTAAGATGTTCACATTAAGTTGCAAATGATTTGCTTGTGATGGTAGGTGCATAACTCTCTGTGTGTCCATGTCATCTGTGTCTTGTTACTGATTTTCCACTAAATGTGTGCAGTACCCCCAAACTGTCATGCTGGGAATTTCCTCTTGTGATTCTTGTTGACTTAACATTCTAATGCCTTTTTTCTTGAAATTTGTGAAATGTGTGTTGCCGCTTTGCAGCCTGATGTGCCTCACAGAAAGCGTCTGTCCCTTGCTTGTAAGCGGCGTAAGATAATGTATGGCTGAGCATAGTATAATATTCGCTTCCATTCCTGTAATTTTATTCCATTATGTTGCGGGTAACGTGAGGCCACTCACCAAAAAAGTTTGTAAATGAATGAAAAGGCAAATATAATTGGAGTGACTGGGACGCTCAGACATCAGAGCATTGAGCTGGCACCACTGAGATCTGATCTGGGTTTGAATTCAGAAGGATAACTGATAAAACCCGGTTCTCACTTGTAGTGAGTTGATGGTCTGAGCATGAACTGAATTGAGTTATCAGTTTGACTGTCATGCGACAAAAAGTACTCATGGCAAGTGCTGCTGCACCCGACTCTGGACCCATGCCACTTACAGGGATGTCATAGGCAGCGCTAATGTCAGCTTATGTGGACATTAAAGGTCGCTGCTCTGTGAGAGTTCCAAATGGATATTATTTATTCCTTGACTTAAAGCGTTCATGTCTGCAGGAATTCATATTATTTGGGTCTTTCGGTAAAGTCACGTAGATGGGTTCAAAGAAAATAACAAAAAACTACTACAAAACTACTTTTGTTATTTTGTTATTTTCTTTGAACCTATCTACATGACTTTACCAAAAGACCCAAAGAATATGATATTATTTATCTCATAGCACAATCAGAAGATAATTGGGTGAAACAATCACAAAAATTGTAAAATGTTTTATTTTAGTTCTACCTGCGTGACTTTACCGAAAGAACCAAAGAGTATGGATTCCTGCAGTCATGAAAGCTTCAAATCAAGATTGGTTTAACACTATTATGCGACGCAGTATTTTAACATTTAGAAGTCTTGCCATAGGTGATAAGTCATTGTTCTCAGGGCTCAATTTCTCCCTGAATATTTCAAGTAGATTGGAGGTGCAGGCATGTGGCTCGTAGCCATAGCCAGAGGTATTCTGGATGTGGTGTGCCAGGCGCAGAAATATATCGCGGCTTGCTGACCTGGCTGAAATTAATCCCTGACTGCGCTCTAATGCCAGCCATGCTTATCCGAAACCAGTGGGCGGTAGGTTCAAGGCGAAGGTGGGGGCCCCTATCGTGGTGTCGGCCGGCACAGGAGTGCTGCCTGACGCAGCACTTCCGGTTTTCTGTGTCCGCAGGGAGGCGGCACGTGAGTGCCGCCGGAAGAAGAAGGAGTACGTGAAGTGCCTGGAGAACCGCGTGACTGTTCTCGAGAATCAAAACAAAACCCTGATCGAGGAGCTGAAAGCCCTCAAAGATCTTTACTGCCACAAAGCCGAGTAGCCCGTAGCTAGGCCGAGAAGCTGGGGAACGTGGGGCAGAGCTCTTTTTATATCCGATCATGGGCACTGAAGCCCGCTTTTTTGTATCCAGAGTAAATAATACATGGTAGTTATTGCAACGATGATCTTTCTGTTACTGCATTATGATCATATACACAAATTGGTGTACTTGGCGAGGCAAAAACTCGTATAAATCTTTAGCCTAGTGATCAGTTGTGCATAACCTAATATATTGTACGTTTTAATTAAGGCATATTTATCAGCTGCATTAAAAATATTAGCAACAATTCGGCTATTCATTGTTGTTAATATTTGCTAAATATGGATACCATTTTTCTGCCTTGTCTAAACATGCAATGTTATTTCAAGACTTTAATCGTGTGTGCTTTTAGAAAGAAAAAAAAAACTAGTGTTAACTTTGTTCACAGTAGACAATGGCACTGATTATGTGAATACTTTTTTGTTTTCTCCCTGTAGTAGCGTGTAGCCGTGTTGCTTTTAGCTCGGGGTCCCAGTGCGCACCATCCAAGACCCTGCTTGCTCTGCGTGCCCGTGCTATCCCGCATGGTTGTTTACAGGAAGGTGTTAGTGTGCCCAGCACGTCCCCACGTCTGTGATTGACAGGGAGGAAGGAAAGTGCTAGATCGCATGGCTTGTGTGTGCGCGACAGTTCACTTTGCTTTTCCAAGGAAGGCTTCCCTAGCTCACGGAGATGTGTTCTTACGACGTGGTTTTTTTTGTTGATGTAGATACGATGCACCTAAGCCACATAATGGAAGCCTCTGCTGCAATGGCATGTATATATGTATGTATATTTTGGTGTATTTTCCTGGAGTCCATCGGGCCCAATGTCGATTTGTCCTTGCCCCGTGCCGTTGTGTTTGTGCGTCCACCAAGCCCCAGCATGTCCGTGGTGCGTGTTTGTGTACGTGTGTGTCCGCGCACGTGCCACCTGCTACCCAGGGATGCGGCCAAGGAATGCCGCCGGCGTAAGAAAGAGTATGTGAGGTCCTTGGAGAACCGCGTGGAAGTGCTGGAGGTCCAGAACAAGCAGCTGCTGGATGAGCTGTCGGGGCTCAAAAACCAGTTCCGTTTGAATCCTGGCAGCGCTGGGCAGTGAAGTTGTCCGTAGTTGCGCGGCCTCGCATCGAGCCCGCAATCACCCGGAGTCCAAAACAACGCTTCCAGTTGTCAAGTGTGAACTTTATTTATTGAGTTAATTAGAAATATCGTATAAGTAAACAACTGACCCTAAATATTACAATCATTATTTTTGAATGCCTAAAATCAATATACGTGTGTATTATGGGTTCTATGGATGTGGTTTGGCCCTGATAATTGACTGGAATTCTTGTACAGATATCAGAATGTGGGATAAGAAACATTCCCGGCTTGGATACAGGGGTGCCGGCTGCGTTATGGTTTCCTGGCTTTATTCTGAGGAATTGGTTACGTGTGAGGCTTACCCGTAGCACACTTTGTTTCGTGCACATTTTTTGTATACATTTTAGAGCCAGTAAAGATTAAAAAAAATGCATTTGCGATGAATTGATTTTAATTTGTGTTATTTGTGTAAATGTAAAGTTTCCAAAGCATCTATTTACAGAATGCCAAAAATGAGTCCTGAAACATCTGACAGCTCTTTTTGCGCAAAGGGTGGAAATTGTCTTTTAGGGCCAAAAGGGCAGTGATATAATTTCAGTCGATCGTTGGTGGCAATTGTAGCTGCAATGTGCGATGTTTTTGGACATTCATATGCCTGGCCTGTGTGTAGTAGCCATTTCTAGGCTACATTCTCATGATTTTCCCTGGCGGGGGGGGGGGGGGGGCTAAACTATGGCCGTTGAGCCAAAGCCATGCATAGAAATGGGAGGATAATGCTTGGTTCTATGTTGCCCTTGCTCTGCATTCTTTCATGTCCACGGTGACCTTTTAAAATTTGGTGTCGTTTTAAGTGTTGACAAACACTGGAATTGGTAAAAAATTTCCTCCCTTTGTCAGTAGCTAACTGAACGTATGACCTGTTACGTTAAAGACTCGTATTTATTTTATTCTCGATTTCTGGTTTTTGCTGTATTTTGTAACCTGGCTTAACTTGTACCCATTTTGTACCGCGTATTGCTTTTAATACAATCCTTTTTGTGATGAGAGGAGTCTGCTGGCGGTATGCGGGTGGGTTTAGTGCTTGGAGTGTGCAAACAACAGTTGTCTTCTTAGAATGTGGAAGTGAGCAGTTTCATCATGTTGTGAGAGTGAGAGGATTGTAGTTTGTATGTGTATATGTAACTGGAGAGACCAGAGGTGACGAGAGCGGTAAAGTCTCGGTGAATGAGTGTCGTTCGAGTGTTCGATTGAGGGGTCCTTTGTCTCGGGGGGTGTGTGTCACGATGCTCACTGGGAACTTATTGTCCAGTAATGCCAGACTTGGCTGCCGTAATTTTGATACTGGCAAAAAAGTCCCATCGATATAACTGCTCAACTCGTGCTATTCATGTTTTGATACTTGTGTAGTGGGTTCACAAGCGACAGAGATGGTGTAGTCGAGGCAGCACTATTATAACTCAACAGGGTAACACTGAGAAGGGGTAACGGCTCCTTCACCCGTACTAGACTGGGATACACCCCTAGGCTCTCTGCCTAGATATCTATGCTCCCAGGTCCTCCGCTAAAGGCACTAGCGGAGGCTACCTGACCTGGCGCAGCCGAGGCACAGGTCATGACACCCAGCCAGACAGACCCGGCCCTTAGAAGGACATCGGCTCTGAGTCTCTGCGACCGCACCACTGGCTTGCTCTGCCCGCCCCTGAGAAGGACAGCGAGTCAGAGGAGTTCCAGGGTCTATCTTGCCAGCCTTCAGTCTTCAACTGGCTCTTCGTTCTTCGGCTCCCGAGCACTCCCCCGAGCTCTCTGGCTCTCCATCTTTTATACAAATTGCTCACCGAGTGGCGGGGTTCTGAGGGATCGAAACACACCCCGCAGCCCACCCCCCGTTGGGAGCGGCGCGAGGGATCCAAAACCCACAGCCCCCCAGGGTGGTCGCTGTAACCGCCGTGTTTGTCCCGTAGCATCCTAACGGCTGTAACAGATGTGTTTCTACCATAACACCCCTACATCACCCCCCCCCCCCCCCCCCCTGTACAGCCGTCCCGGCTGCAACAATACTTTCCAATAAAGATGCAAACAAGAACCCGAACCGTGCGTGCCTCATAACAGGAAAAGCAACCGAACGCCCCAATAAATAACTCAAACCACCTATACAAAAAACACTATGTACACAATATACATTTCCCCCCCCTCCCCCATTTCAACCGGCTTTACCCGTCAGCACAGCCATGCCCGTCGCCCGCAGCAAGAAGGAATATAACAGGTAAGTGATTACAGCGGCAACGGAACGATTGCAACAAAGAAGGCAACATTACAAAAACCGCCGTCTATCATAGGGGACGAAACCGGTTGGGCCGGTGGTGGATGCATTCCGTTCTGGCGTGCAAAAATCCGGCTTCCTGGATGCGCAGTCGCTGTCCCCGCTGGGTGGTGTGGGCGCCCGGGAGGGCGTCATTCCCTAGGCACCTGAAGATGGAACAGTTAGTGGTAGGCCAGGAGCAGGCGCCGAAATCACCGTCTGGGAGTCAGCGGACACATCACATGCTCGGCCATTGTTATGTGGAGACGAAGCGCGTGGCGCAACGAACGGCTTTAGACGCGAGGGGTGCACGTACCAACGACGTTTTCCCCACTTAATACGGACACATTGTGGCTGCATGACCTGTACAATTTCCACGGGACCCCTCCACGGCCAAAGTAATTTTGACGAGGTCGCCAACGGCACTTGAGGGGAATGTAACCAGGGTCTGTCGCCCGGGCTCCATGCCATGCGTATGTGACTGGCGCGTTCGCAACCTTTCGTTCACTTTTTGGCGAGAGTTCGAGTTTTGAACGGCAGCTTCCCGCGCCTCGGACAATTTTAAGATATAAAATTTGACGTGGTCAGCCAGTTTTGATTTAGCGTGTGACTTGGAGACCCACAGCTGGGCCTCAATAGGTGGATCAACATCGCGCCCATACATCAAAGAGAAGGGTGAGGATCTGGTAGCCGCATGAGCCATCCTGTAGGCAGCCAAAACCCCCGGAATTTTAAGGTCCCAATCGGTCTGGGAGTCACACACCTGGTGACACAACATGGACGTGAGAGTCCTATGAAGACGTTCCACCATTCCATCAGTTTGTGGGTGATACGGGGAGGTACGAACTTTTTTCGTACCAAGGAGCTCACACACCTCGCGTAGAAGGGAGCTAGAGAAGTTCTTTCCCTAGTCGGTCAGCAGCCATTCAGGAGCACCTTTGTCGAGGACATAGCCCTGGACAAAGGCCTCGGTGACGGCTGCTACCGACTGGTTGGCGAGGGGCCAAGCCATAGGCCATCGAGTAAAATATTCAACGCCAACCAGTAGGTACTTGTTACCCCGAGGTGTTGCAGGGAATGTGCCCAAAATATCGAGCGCAACGAGCTCATTAACCCGGGTGACCGTAATAGACTGTAGGGGCGGACAGGCCCCCCTCGCTGGCGGCTTCCGTTGGGCGCACTGGGTACATGCCCGCAGGAGGAAATCGAGCTGGAGCGTGGCAAGGGTTTTGTGGGTTCCCAGGTGCAGGAGCCGCTCGTGAGCAGCCCACAATACCTTACCGCGCAGAATAGAAGGTACAACCAGCTTGTTGCGGCGGGTCTTACCATCCCAATGCATGAGACTGACACAACCCCAACGAGTCGATCCCCGCCACCCCCTGAACGGGTCCCCCTGCGCGACGCCGCAACGCAAGGAGGGATGCGTCCTCCATCTGGAGGCGGCCCCATTCCGCAACGGACATCCCAAGCAAAGAGTCCTTCCCCTCCTGTTCGATAGGGCCCCCGGCCGAAAGTTCCTCGGTGGCGGCAGCAAGAACCAAAGCAGGGCTGTCACCAGGAAGTTTACAACGCCCCGACCCCAGGAGACAGGTGCACTCCGCGGTGGGTAGCAGGCGTGATAGCATCCACATTTGTGTGTCGAACACCTTCACGATATGTGGTTGTGAAATCGAAATCTTGAAGGACCTAGAGCCATCGAGACAATTGTCCCGATGGCTGTTCAACGCTCAAGGCATATTACAATGCCGCATGGTCTGTACGGACGGTGAAATGCCGGCCGTACAGATATGGCCGATATTGTTGTTTGAAAAAAACAAAGGCCAACAGCTCACGACGGGCGACACAGTATCGTTGCTCCGCCGGAGACAAGACCCTACTGCCGTAGGCCAGAACGCGCTCCACTCCCCCGACAACATGCGAGAGCACGCCACCAACTACGCAAATTTGTACCATCTTATTTGACAGGTACTCGTCTATTTTACCGAGCTGTTGACATCCCCAGCGTTTAACAGTGCTGCTTTTTTGGTTTTGGCAGCCAACATCAGCCGTAATTCTTGCCGAGGTGTATCAGCTGTACCTTCTCTTCTAGCCCCGCCCACTTCCCCCCCACCCTCCCAGTCCATAACTGCCACATTTAGATAAGCTCCTCCCCCTCCCCTTAACCAGTATTTAAGATCTTGTCTCCTGAATTTCTCTTCACTTGATACAGTAAATTTGGCTGTGACGGGCCCACCTGAAGACGGAGACTTGTGTTGCCTCCGAAACGTCGTGATTTAATTGAGTTATTAATTTATTATTATTATTATTTTATTATTATTATTTTTACCTACGCGACTTTACCGAAAAAACCTAAGAGTATGAATCCTTGCAGTCACGAAAGCTTCAAATCTAGAATTCCTGACCTCACCCACCGAGGTGGGAGTCGGCCAGGAGCTGACACACTGCATTTTGGCGGGATCGGTAGAGATACTTGATCGGCTGACGATGTGTCCTAGATACCACACAGATTCACGGAGCAAGTGGCACTTTTGTGGCTTGAACTTTAAATTTGCGGCGCGCATTTTGAGGAAAACGGCTCGCAACCTTTGAAGGTGTTCCTTGAATGTTTTTGCTAAAGACGATAACATCGTCCAGGTAGATCAAACAAACATCCCATTGTAAGTCAGCAAGAACCAACTCCATTAGGCGCTGAAACGTCGTTGGAGCTGAGTGGAGCCCCA